GACAAGGACCGCAACAGAGCCACCAAGAGCATTTTGGGGTTGTTGAGGGGATGAGTTGGGGTTATTCATCCTGAAAATACAGTGAGGGCAGGAGAGGGAGGGGGCCCGGAAATGGGAAACAAGTTGGCATTTAGGCCATCCTGACTCAAGTAAAACTCAAGACAGTCCTTCCCTGTGGGTGGTGGTGGGATCGACCTCTCCTGAGGAAAAGTGGGGGTGGGGGGTGGGGGATGGAAGTGACAGGTGTCCTCAGCAGGAACAGGTGATGGGGTGAGGAAACAAGGTTATCCTCTATTTTCACATAACACAGAATTTTTTTTCATATCATCCTGGCCATAGCATTCATCAAAAAGAACATATCAAGATCTGTCTTGAAGTACAATGCTGTCTGTGATAGGATAGTATTCATACGCCTACAAGGAAGACCAGATAATACCACTATTATTCAAATTTGCATACCAACCACTAAAGCCAGTGATTTAATTGACGAATTCTATCAACTTCTTCAATCTGAAATTGATGGAACATGCAACCAAAATGTATTGATAACTACTAGCAATTGGAATGCAAAAGTTGGAAACAAAGAGGAAGGATCATTGGATGGAAAATATGGCCTTCATGATAAAAACAGTGCTGCAGATCGTATAAGTAAAACTCTGCTAAAGACAATTCAAAAACGGTTGCCAGAGAACAGCCAGAGGCTCAAGCCGGATTCACATACGGGCATGGAATGAGGAAAATCATTGCTGATGTCAGATGAACCTTGGCTGAAAGCAGAGGATACCAAAAAGATGTTTACCTGTGCTTTATTGGCTATACAAAGACTTTTGATTCTGTGGATCCTGACAAGCTATTGACAACACTGTGGAGAATGAGTATTCTGGAACACTTAATTGTTATTATGAGGAACCTTTACATAGACCAAGAAGCAGTTGTTCGAACAGAACAAGGGAACACTGAATGGTTTAAAATTAGCAAAGGTGTGAGACAGGGTTGTATTCTTCCACCACACTCATTCAATCTTTATTCTGAGTGCATAGTCCGAGAAACTGGATTTTATGAAGAACAATGTCGCATCAGGATTGGAGGAAGATTCATTAACAACCTGTAATCTGCAGATGATACAACCTTGTCAGGTGAAAGTGAAGAGCACTTAAAATACTTATCAATGAAGACTTCAGTATAGGTTGCAACTCAATGTAAAGAAGACAAAAACCCTCACCAGTAAACAATATCCATATAAATGGAGAAAAGATGGAAGTTCTCAAAGATTTAATTTGCTCAGATCTATCATCAACACTCATGGATGCAGCAGTCAAGACATCAAAAGACA